CTGCTGTAAATACACGTTGCTGAAGGAAATGCTGCTGGACTATGTGTGAGTTATTCCTGGACTGCCTGAACCGTGAATTACTCTGCTAAAACTGTGATTATCGCTATAAACACTGACAAGTGGCCATAATAGAAACCTGGTGGGATTTGGAAAACCAATGGGATACCGCAATCCCAGATTATAAACTCTAGAGGAGGGACAGGGAGGGGCATGTTGGAGGCAGGGTGGCCATCTAGGTCAAACAAGGGGTAGAATCCAGCAGAAATGGAGATGGATGATGGGTCTGACTCCATCATAGAATCACTGTGGGTTAAACTGCCAGCACCAAGGAGCAATGTGATAGTGGGTTGGGGGCTTGCTATCATCCTCCAGATCAAAAACTTGAGAGGGAAATGTTGGGAAAAACTTGAGGGGGAAAATTGATAAGTGGATAGAAATCAGGGAGGTGTCCAAAAGGGACAGGATCGTAATCATGGGGAACGTCAATTATCCTCACATTGACTGGGCTCAGGCGTGCTCTGATCAAGAAAGAGAGACCGGATTTCTTGACATGCTAAATCACTATGTCTTGGAGCAATTTCTCATGGAGCCCACCAGAGGACAGGTGACTCTGGATCGAATATCATGTCAGGACCTGGTTAGGGGCGGGAATGTCACTGAGTCCCTAGAAAATAATGACCATTCTGCCATCTCTTTTCCTGTGCATGTTGGGGGGAGAATGTCAAGGAAATCTGAAACAAAAGCCATTGATTTCTGAAGGGTGGGCCTCCCTCAGATGAGGAAGCTAGTAAGAAAGAAGTTGAAAGGGAAGTTTACAAAAAAATTCTCAAGAGTGCATAGTCTTTTTAAAACAACGGTAGTAGAGGCCCAGTGGAAGTGTATACTGCAAAAAAGGGGGGGGGCTCAACTAAGTCCAAGAAAGTGCCGGAATAGTTAACAATCAAAGTTACAGAGGACTTAATGGGAAAGGAGGGGTCCTTCCATAAATGGAAATCCTTCCCAGATGAGGAAAATAAAAAGGAACATAAATTCTGGCAAAAGAAATGTAAGAAGATGATAAAAA